CACCCCCCCCCCCCCCCCCACCCCCACCCACCCCCACACCCACACCCACACCCACACCCCCACCCACACCCACACCCACACCCACACCCACGCCCACACCCACACCCTTTTTTCGCGACACCCATTTTGACCTAATAAATGTACCTAGGAGGATCGTAATTGGACCGATAACTGTAAGTGAGGTTATCGCAATTGGACTATCAGCCGTACCTACGATACTCGTAGTTTGGCTAATAACGATAGAAACAGTTGTCATACTTAGATCGGCATCCATGAGTATGTTTGTTTTAGTTAGAACGATAACGATAGGTATGGCTATATAATCTCGCTGATAACTATCAATGCGGTAATCATAGTTGGACTGATAACCGTAGGTACGTTAATCGTAATTGCACCAATAGGTTTACTTACGGTAATCGTAGCTAGGTCAGTAACCGTAACTTAGATGATAGTAATTAGACTGGTAAGCATAGCTGTGGCTGTTGTACTTAGATTGATAACTGTAGTCTCGGTGATGATAGTTAGATTCGTAACCGTAGGTACACTGATCTTAGATGGACCAGTAACCATTGGTACATTTGTTGTGATTGGATCGAAAAATCTAGGTACAATTATCGCAGCTGTACCAGTAATCGTAGGTATGGTTAGCGGTTTCGATCGATGAAATGACCTTCACCGTTGTATTTCTAGTTAATATCAATACTGCCATATAGAACTACGAAAATTTGCGGTAATAGCCGGTTTCCGCTATCACTCAAACAACATAAGACTCGATGCATCCAGCAGGACTAATACGCCGGTATCTATTATGACTTTATATAACCTTATTGGCTTGAGTCTCTGATTTACTGCAGAGTTCTGATCAGTATTTCCCGAAATTAATTAGGACGAGGGATTACTTCTTTTCAGAAAATTAAGTGCTCCAGTTTCTAAACTGTATCGTGTAGGAGAGACACCGAAATGCAAAAAAGTGACCGGTGCACCGTTCACCGGTCTCACCGTTCCACCGGTTCACCATTCACCGGTTTCACCGGTCCATCGATTCACCGTACCGAACGGTGGACGGTGAACCGTCACCGGTGCATCCCTAACTTCACTCACGCATCATAAGGCATGATATTTACTACATCACAATGTGATTACGTCTATTACTTTTTGATACTTTCCAATGCATAAGAAACTTCATTTATTGCAACGACTTAAATTATATCCGGGTACACCGATCGTAATGAATTGAAACTGTGACGATGAATAAAGCTTTACTTCTCTACACTAAAATATTGAGTCTTATCTATATATTCTCGTGATTGTATTAGATATTGACAGAGCACCCGAAAATCCAACTTGAAATTCAATGAAATATATATATTTTTGACTTTCGCAAATCAACTACAAAGAAATTCTGAACGTCTTTCTTTTTTTTCATTTATTCTCTTTTCATTGTCTTGTTTACTTCTTCATTACTTTTTAGTTGTGCACTAAATGCATTAGATGTAGATCATTACCTGTGAAAACCTCTCGAAGTTTCTCGAAATCGAAATTAGAGAGAAAAATGTTTGGATTTAAAGTTCTCTTTCAAAGTCAAAAATTTTACTGCGAAAGTCTTTAGTGTGAAACTCTTGCATCACTACTTTTAGGTCTGTAATTGTATGCCCGCACGGTTCAGTCCGTTTAGTAGATACAATGCAGAGCGGTGTATGTTGGGTATATACCTCTTTACGGGCAAAAACTATAGAAAACGGCAATCGATGAATCAGCCATTTATAGTTGATGCATGTGGCGCCTGATGATTCTACGCGAACATCGTTTACAATAGTTCTATTGTTACGCTAGGAGTAATGGAGACTTTTCACTATCCTTGCTGACGACGTTCATTATACAGAGTGAAGCTTCCGTTACGACTGCTGTCAACGGCAAATCTTAAACGCTTGTCAATTTCCATCGCAACTACTCGATATACGGTCGTATATGACAGTGAGTCATTGATCTGAATAATAAAGTAATCTAATAATAAAATTTAATTAATTTTGACCAAGATAACATTATTCACAAATAATTCATTAGAATGTATTGTAAATACTAAATTAACGCTAGATTTTTCCATTTCACGATAATAACTAGCAACTAACATGAAGAAAGCACATGCTGTCTGATAAGAACTGAAAAAAAAGCCATACTTGTTATACATTGACTATGCAATCATTCGAAATATCAACTGCATCTGGATTCTTATCTCACCCATATTTGCTTGGCATGCACATTGATATGCAAATAAAATGATTCTTCTCATCTCTCTCAGTCATAGTAGACACCACACATACTGTAAAAAATAAGCGCAAAAAAATCTACGCTTGCCCTTTAACAATTTTTCATAAACTCTTGCAGGGTTTATACTGATAACATATACGTCTGAAGAGCTCATGAGCCAAAGAGTTTGCGTTTTTAAGAGAGACTTCACCAGTCAGTCAAGCATTCCTTAATCGGATCATTTTACAAAAAAAAAATAACATGCATAATTTTCTTTCATCAATCGATTCCTCATGAAAAACCACAGTTTCGAAAATGCTTTGTACGTACTTTGAATAAATGATTTATTTATCGATTCAAGACCAAAACATTTTTCTTTTCCAATAGATGTTTCTTTCAATTAATTACATCTACAGGATATGAAAATTATGTATTTACAATCAAGTAATAAACACAAGCCACTTTAATAGCATGATCTTAGTTTAAAAAAAACAGACAAGATGCTTTGTTAACCAGAATATTATTAGAAAAAAACTGAAGCCAAGTCATATTATACAATAAAGTGCATGGCACGGTGTCATACGTGGCAAGAAATAAACATGAAAACCATTACAATTGATAACTGAAATAGAATTACTGACTAAACAGGGTGTTATAGGTACCTCAACACATAAAGTCCCACTAACTATTGTTCCTACAATTGATGGCAATGTACCATTCAGTCATTCTGTTAGAAAAGAACCACAATGATTTACTCCAGGTAATGTCAGAGGTATGATAGTACCTCCTGTACCCATAAATCGAATCCATCTACCACCAACATTTGTATTGAATAATAGTCCGTTATCACAAGAATCACCTACTCCAGATGTAGCTATGTTTCGTGAAGGATCATTGACAACTGTGTATGATGAACAAGGTGGATCACCACTAGGTCCACCATTACCAACATCAAAGATTGTTGGTACGGTTGCACCTAAAAATTCATCAATTAAATTAATGAACTCCTGTGTTATTTATAGGTTTTAACAAGATTGATCGAAGCAAGTAATATTTTTACTAGAATATTAATTGGCATTGCCTGCTGTTATCGATGATGTTGATTTATCTGTTGTAGTTATTTTGTGAATTCTGAAGAACATTCATCATTACTATCATACTAACAATCATCAGAATCAGTAGAGTAATAATGCTGATAATAACTATTTTTGTCTGTCTGATGTTACAATATTCTCCAGAGTGAGTTGCAAATCTTGTTGATTTAAGAAAATGTGTTTCAAAATAAGCCTTACTTTAAAGTTGCTGATGACTGTTTTGAATCATCATTCGACGATGATAACATTAGCTTAGGCGAGATTTTTTCAGGCAATATTGTTGAAGAAAGATCACCTTAACGACTTATATCAGACAGTGGTGATTTGGAAATAGAGTAATTCGATACAGCAATCGAGCTCACTGCAATAGTACGATGGTTTGCATGGTAATTTATAGGATTATTAATACACGGAAAAAAAATCAATATTGTAATTATTCAATGTTTGAGTATTTGATAAAAACACCTGGTTTCAATAGAGACGACTTACAGGGTTTCTTTTTCTCTTATTTTTTTTGCTACTGTTAAACTTGGATCAAAAGAACACCTCTTCATCAATTCGTTCGAAATACTGTCCATAGGAAGTGTTTCTGATTTCATGTAATCAAATGGTAGGAGAGAAAGAGGGTAAGCAGAGAGATCACGTCATCAACGTCATTAGTTACACATTATGAGAAGTAACTCATTATATTTAAAGAAATAAGCAATACTTTTCATCAAGATGATAATGAATTCGACGGGAGTGTACGTTTTTCTTTCAACAAATTGTCAGTGTACCAATTACCATGTATACTGAAAAGATGAATTCCTTTTTTTTAGACCTCATTTGTATTGCTAATCAGTATTTTCTCAAGAATCAGTTCATATCACCAAGTCTAGAGAGAGAATATACAAAAATACAATAAGAGGGTGAAATCAAAATGAAAGGATATTTATATTTCTTACACAATAGTTCAGACTTCATGTGTAATTATGTTCCTTTATAGGTATTGATAGTATTCATAAGCTACGAGTACTTCGAGCGAGAAAACAAATACTTGCAACGTTTGCACTTCTGAGAGCTCGTATCATCGGATAAGTTTCCCAAAATATGAAGTTGAAACACTAAACAACTACTGTCATGCACAAAGATTAGTGTTTTGGAGCATATCACAATTAAATTCTACCGCTGAGAAGTGAAACATTTTTTCTAAGGAAAATCGATCCATAGTCACATCAACAGAGAAAAGGCCTTTAAAATGTCATGTTTTACCAAATGGATATTAGAACTTCAAAGTAGCCAAAAACTTGATCATGTGCTTTTCGAACAAATTTATGGACGACTTATTAGTATGAAATCATACTGAAAGAATGCTTGAATAAAAAAATCTTTTATGTTAATCTATATTCAGTTTGCTTCACCTTCTCTTCAAACACTGAAAATTCTCTATTGTTTGTCAGCAATACTCAAAATAATACATTGATTATATTGACTTGGAGATGTTGTTTTATGAATTTAAACTGAAATAATATGTAGAGCAGATGAAAAATTTCACATGAACAAAATTATTTTTTATAAATAATTAAAGAAAGTAAGTTTTAATTCTTCATTATTGATTTTATATTTCAGTTTTTGATTCAAGAAAATAAAAATCAATCCAACTAAAAATAACTTATATTCTAGATTATATGAACGATGACGGACTTATTGAATTGAAAATAAATTCAGAAGAAATTGATTTTCACATTTGAATGAATTTTTAATATCATTATCTCATAGTTATTAAATAAACTCTACTCTTCGCTAGATAAATCAATAGAATTATCATTTGGTTTATTTTATATTAGAATCAGATCATTAGAATCTCGATCAACAGGTACTTTGATACGTCAGCAATATGAAAGCCAATAATCACATAATCAACAACAAAGTATTCATCATTAACAAGCTGTGATCATGATACTATACAAGAAAACACTGTTCTAGTTATGTAACAATAGTTTTGTTCGAAGAAGAAAAATGAGATATATTAGGAAGAAATGATTCAGTGTGCGATATCAATATTCCGACATCTTCTTTTGAATAGAAAAACACAGTATATCGAAAACAAACTAAGCGAAAATATCTATGGCATTTTTCAGATTTTTTTTGTAATCAATTCTGTCTTTGTCTGATGAATGAGATATAACTTACTACCTATTACAGTTCACTCTTTCAACAAAAAAGGGTGTCAATTATATTTACATGCAACAAAATACTATAGAGAGAAGAAATTTCCATATATTGTCGAGATGTTATTAATTCTATCAAATGACAGTCGAACAAGAAAATAATATTGTTGGATCTGTCAACAAATGAAGTCATCTAAAACATACAAGACTAGACAAATATTTCACATGGTATAAAAGAGAAAGAGTTTTGTTTTTTGCGAGAAAACTTCAAGAAAGGGAAAATCAATGTCAGCAGCCGCAGTCTCACAGTATACAGTTGTGCATACAATCTTTCGTACGATTTTTAAATCTAATTATTTCTCTCCGAAAATGTTTCGGACAAAAGCAGAATTCACATGGATGAATAAAAGAAATAACAGGCTACATTTTGGCAAATGACACTTTCCGAACTGAAAACTTGATATAAAGCAGCTTGTGTAGTTTCTGATGGATATGATACGATACAAATGTCAACTCTTTGGGTGGGTGTGGGTTTAAAATTCATATTGAACTCACAGTTAAATTGGTCAAAGTCTAGTCATCTTTCGCCAATTAGGTAAAGCTTTATCTGCGACATTCCGAAATCTTTGCAAATCATCTTCATGAACATCTTCCCAATGACCTAATATCTTAGTTCCAAAATGTAGACACGTTGCTTCATAAAAAAGTTTTCTTTCGGGAGGTTCTTGCCAGAAAGTAGTCTGTTTATTTTTTTATTCATTCATATGGACGCTGTTTTTTTCTATACAATACCAGAAAAAAATAATTTCATTTGAAAACTATACGAAAAATTTGTTACCTCGAACTGTTATAAGTTTAGTTAAAGTACGACTCCACTTTCTGAGTTGAATTTCAGAGACGATATATAACAGAAAAACGACTGTACTATTCTCAAAAAACGCGTGTCAAAAGACAGCATTCTATAGACTTATAATTGAAAAAGCGTATGAAAAACTTTTTCAATCGAGGTATTTCTGATAAGCATATATACTTTAGATGACTATAGTGTCGAAAGAGCCTTTGATTTTGATGTTCACAAACTTAAGTGTTAATCAAGTTCGAAAATGAATAAAAAAACTACTTTTACTATATCATCAGTATTTATATCCATCTGCCTAGTTAAAATGATTTGAGATAGATTCAAACAAATGGCATCTTCTATTTTGGTATGTAACAATGAAATACTCGATAGATTAAGTTTTAAATAAAATGAAAAAAAGGATCTTATTTTTTGTGCATTTCTACACAATTGAATCATATCGCGAAAAAATATAAACTTCTTATTACAATCACATTCCATTTGTTATTCTTTCCTTTTTACGAATGTCTTTCTTCGATATGGCAGCCATACTTCTTTATTCATTTTTAATCAGGAGTCCGTTTTTAGCAGACAAAATAAATTTATTTATCCTTCATCTTGATCGATTATTCGATAACAAAGGAAAAAAATTCAAAGCAAAAAGAAGAGATATTTTCTCTCATCAATAAAAATCAAATGACATCATATAGTGCAATAACGTGAATTACACACTTCCACTGGTGGTAAAAAATAAACATAAAAACTACCACAATTGACAACTGAAACAGAGGAAACGAAGGCACCAGTTATGCTATATGTGTTGAAACATACGTCCCCACTAACTATTGTTCCTACAATTGATGGTAATGTGCCATTAAACCATCCTGCTAGATAAGCACCACAATGATTTATTTCTGGTGATGTGAGTGGTATTATAGTACCTCCTGTACCCATAAATCGAATCCATCTACCATCAATACTTGTATTAAATAAGAGACCATTATCACATGAACCACCCATTCCGTATGTAGCTATGTTGCGCGATGGATCGTTGACAACTGTGTACGATGAACAAGGTGGCTCACTACTCGCACCACCTTGACCAACATCATAGATTGTTGATATTGTTGTGCCTAAACATTATCAATTAAATCAATGAATTACAATATTATTTAGAAAATGTATTTGTTCAATATAGAACTATGTTCTCATAGTCTTTTAACTAGAGAGATTGAATGAAAAATTCTCTTTTATCTTTCATAAAATGTCGAGCAAGTAATATTCTTACTAGAATATGAATTGACATTGTCTTCTGTTATTGATAATGTTGATTTATCTGTTGCATTCTGTGAATTCCGAAGAAAAATCATCATAACTATCATTATAAGAATCACGAATATCAATAGAGTTGTAATACTGATAATAATTATTTTTGTTCGTTTGCTATTACAATATTCTCCAGAGTGAGTTGCAAACCTTGTTAATTTAAGAAAATATATTTCGTAAAGAAAACTTGTTTCAAAATAAGTCTTACTTTAAAGTTGTTGATGATTGTGTTGAATCATTATTCGATGATGATGAATTTAGGTTATGAGAGATTGCTTCAAGCGACATTGTTGAATAAAGATCACTTAAACTATGTATAGCAGACAGTGATGAATGAAAGACTTTCTTGTTTATGGATCAAATGACTCCGATCTCAATAGAGTAATGTGATTAAGCTGTTGATCTCACTTTAATAGTACAATTGTTGGTCGTATACTAATGCAAGAAGATAGTTTGTCTTGGAATTTATAGAATTATGAATACACAAGAAAAAAAAATCAATATTCTAATTATTCAGTTTTCGATTATTTCGAAGAAAAAACACCTATTTTCAATAAAGACGACTAACAAGGTTTCTTTCTTTTTCTTTTTCTTTTTCTTTTTTTCTCTCATTTTCTAGTATTTTTAAAACTAGATCAAAAGCACACCTCTTCATCAATTCGTTCGAAATACTGTCCAAATAGACAACTTATTAGTACGAAATTATACTGAAAGAATGCTTCAATAAAAAAAATCTTTTGTGTTAATTAATATTCGTTTTGTGTCACATTCTCTTCAAATACAGAGAATCCTTTATTGTTTGCTAGCAATACTCAGAAGAATGCATCGATTATATTGACTTCGATATGTTCTTTTTATGAATTCGAACTGAAATAGTATTTAGATCAGATGAAAATTTTAATACAAACAAGATTCTTTTTTGTAAATAGTTAAAAAAAAAGTTTTATTCTTTCTTACTGATTTCATATTTTAATTTTTGATTGAAGAAAATAAAAATTAATACTATCAAAAGTAACTTATTTTCCAGGTTATATAAACTGTGATGAATTATTTGATATGAAATAAATTCACAAGAAATTGAATTTCACATTCAAACAGAGTTGAAATTGTTATCTTAGAGTTAATAAACAAAACTCTTCTTTTTGGTAGATAAATAAATACAATTATCAGTTTGTTCCTTGTATGTCAGATTTCGCTCATTAGAATGTCGATCAATGGATACTTCGATAAGTTATCAGTATTGTAGTCAAGAATTACATAATAAGCCTTAAAGTTTTCATCACTTACAAACTGCAATTTCGGTACAATACAAGGAAATATTATCCTAGTTTCATAAGAATACTTCTGATCCAAGTAACGATTTAATGTGTGATATCAGTATCGTAGCATTTTGCTTTTGAGTATGACAACAAAAAATATATTTACATCAAACAAGATATTCTACAAACATTGATTTTCCATATTTTATCAAAATGTTATTAATCCTACG